AAGAGCACCATCGCCCTGTGGAGTAGCACCAGGACTGGCAACTCAACGGAGGTGGAGGATTACGGCAACAGGAGTCAGTCCAGAACGCACATATACCTCCACGCAACCTGGAGGACAGGCTCTTCTTTTCTAGGGGAATTATTTAATCAGCATCCTGATGTGTTTTATTTATACGAGCCCATGTGGAATATGTGGCAGGCGCTTTATCCCGGAGATGCGGGCAGTTTACAAGGAGCAGTGAGAGACATGATGAACTCTCTGTTTAGATGCGACTTCTCAGTGTTAAAACTCTACGCAGGCTCGTCCAACGTAACCACCTCTTTTATTTTCGGCTGGAAAACGAACAAGGTCATTTGCTCCGAGCCTCTCTGCAAAGCGTATAAAAAGCACGAAATTGGTTTAGTTCAAGGAGACGTGTGTAGCAAATGCCACCACAGAGATCTCAAAGAGCTGGAGAAAGAGTGCAAAAAGTACCCTGTGATGGTCATCAAAGACGTGCGGGTTTTAGATTTGGCGGTTCTGGTCCCCCTCATGCGAGACCCCGCCATCAACCTCCAGATAGTCCAGTTGTTTCGCGACCCCCGGGCCGTGCATAATTCTCGACTGAAGTCTAAACTGGCTCTGGTGAAGGAGAGCATACAGGTGCTGAGGAGCAAGAAGCAGAGCGACAAATACAAGCGCCTTCTGGTGCCTAGCAACAGGGTCCATCGGGCAGAGAGCTACGTCTCGAGCGCGATGGAGTTAATATGCGATAACTGGCTCAACGACATGTTGCTCGTTATGAACGCTCCGCCGTGGGTGAAGCGAAACTACATGCAGCTGAAATACGAAGACCTGGTCCTCAGACCCGTGGGCGAGCTCCAGAGGCTCTATCGGTTCTCCAACCTCACCCTTTCTCCGGCCATGGAGAAGTTTGTGGTGAACATGACCCACGGACAGGGCTATTCCTCGGATAAACCTTTCCTCATATCATCCAGAGATGCCAAAGAGGCTATTTACGCCTGGAGGGAAAGGCTGAACGTGGAGCAAGTGAACCAGGTTGAAGCCTACTGCAGCGAGGTCATGAGACAGCTGGGTTATCAGAAGAGGAACAAGGACAAGACCTAAAACCACCAAAACATGGGTTTATGGTATGTGTAAGTGTCTGAATGTCAACAAAAGGATAAAAAATGCGACTTGGTGTCAACTATGGTCCCAGAACTTAGTGAGATAACAACGTAATTGGGCACCGTGATGACCAAGTATATCACACTTTACATTAGTGTTCATTTTGCAATATTATTGCAGATTTACAGAGTGTATAGTAGATGGATAGTTAACTTCACCCAAAAATGAAAATTCTGTCGTCATTTACTCACCCTCATGTGGTTCCAAATGTGGAAGCCATCGACTTTCATAGTATTTTTTCCCCCAATACAGTGGAAGTCAATGGTTACTGTCAACTTTTTGGTTATCAACATTCTTCAAAATATCTTCTTTTGTGTTCAACAGATGAAAGAAACTCATACAGGTTTGGAACAACATGAGGTTGACTAAATGACAGTATTTTCATTTTTGGGTGAACTATCCCTTTAAACGCCAACAGAAAAGTTCTATGGTTTTTGGCAAAGAAACCATTGCAAAACACATAGTATAGCAACCCATAGCATTTCTGGTCAAACGTTTGGGGTCAGTAAGTTTATTATTATTAATTACATTTATTCAGCAAGGACAAATTAAATTGATCAAAGTTACAGTATAGACATTTATATTGTTAAAAAAGTATTTCTACTCATGCTTATTTGCTATTATAATGCTATTTTTAACTTTTTTATTCATCATAGAATCCTGAAAAAAATCTATCACACTTGCTACAAAAGTATTACCCAGCACAACCGTTTTCATCATTGATAATAATAATAATAAATGTGTAATGAGCACCAAATCAGAATGATTTCTGAAGGATCATGTGACACTGAAGACTGGATTAATGCCTATTCCTGTTGTCACATAGAAAATGCTTTTAAATTGTGATAATACTTAACAATATACTGTTTTTACTGTATTTTTTATCAAATAAATGTAGCTTCGATGAGCATAAGAGACTTCTTTAGAAAAAAAAATCAAATTGCCACCCCCAAACTTTTGAACTGTATTATGGCACTGCCACTGTACAGTTTAATAAGGTAACTGAATTAGTACCAGTATATGCATCACAGCATTCTTTGAAAGCCATATGAATACCATGGTATATATTAAAGTACCATACTATTACATCTGAGGAAATACAGTTACATATGTACAGAATTAATATGTGTTATTGTTTTGTAAAGCTGCTTTTAAATCTAAAAGAAAAGTACTATGGTCTAAAAGAAAAGTACTATGGATTATATATACTCTATAGTATACTATACTTTTAGGGGAAATGCCCTTCATTTATTGTAATTAATGATATTTACATGTAATATGTGTAACAGGGTCACTGTCTTCTACTACTCTTTATCAGGTCAAACAGATGCGTGCAAAATGCAAAACGGCATCCATGATAAGATGGGGCATGTTTTCTGCTGGCTTTAGATTAGCGCTGAGTTTAAATTTGTAAGATGGGTGAGTTTTACATTCAGCTAGCACGACTACACGTTAATGCTTCCACCGTTAGATGAGAAGAGTGCGAGTCCGAGATTGATTATGCAACACTGCAACTAGTGTAGTTGTAAAGATGTACATTGATTTTATCTGCAGTGTGCTGTTATGCAGTAGCTCTATGTGAATGCCATGCACATACACTGAGTGACAGACAGCTTTATAACAAAGGTTGAAGGTGTCAGTTCTAATCTGTATAATGATACATACAATCTGTCTTCAGAGAACCAAGTTTGATTTTATAATCTTCAACGACCTCTTGGGAAGAGAAAACGTGATGTTTTATAAAGTTATAGATTTCAGTTAGATTCTCGTTTAGCTAAAATGTGTAAACATCATCGATTCACAAATGCAAAATTGTATTTTTTACCATTGGGAACACTTTACAAGGTTCAATTTAGGTAATGCATTATATATCATAAACAACAGGTTTTAACTAGATTAATGATCATTTTTAAATATACTATAATTTAGTGTTAATTAATGTTTGTATTTGTCGAAATGTTAACCAAGATAAATGCTGTAAATATAGTGTTTGTTGTTATATTAGCTACTTTTAAGAACTAATGTCAACATACAAGACATTGGATTACAGTGTACCATTTCAGTCAGTGATTGTAAAAACACTGTCGAGGGCAGAATCAGTGCACTATATTCAGCATGTAATGATCATGAACATTAAAAAGAGACAATAGGAGAGTCAAGTTTAGCCGGGGTCATTGATCCAGTCTGAAACCAATAGTACATGGTGCCAGTGAAGTCATAGGGTTAATACTGTCCTCTTGAACTCGGGGAAGTGGAAGCTATATGGTGGTGCAATTTTGTAATTTCCAAACAGACCTGGGTCAGCAAAATGACCAGTTTCACTTTTACTGTAGCCGATATAATGGTTAAAAGTGCTGTAAGTCAAGTCAGCACAGCATATCATAAATATCCTCTCAGCACTGTGACCTGTGAAAATGTCCGACTGCGGTATGTGTCAAATCAATTAGCCATCATGCTCGAGTCTGATTTCATGGCGAGGCTTGTATAACAGAGCGATGGATCATGATACAGGCTTCTTTGTTATCGCTATCAGCGTCATGTGGTGAGGGGGGCTGGTGTGAACTAACAGACCGACCACACGTGGTTGGAACAGGCTTAAATAGGGACTGCTTTGTTTTGGTTAGTCCCTGGAGGGACCAGTGCTCCCTGAGCTGAGTGAGCTCTAAGTGTCCCTCAGTACCAGATGAGACAACCTCCAAGACCTAGCACTCATCACAACCTTGTTTTCAAATATGTCTTGAATAACATATTTTTGAAAAGCTTTTGATTGCTTGGGTGTCACAACAACAAAAAGATAGTAATTAATTAATTATTAATCTAATATTTAATTATATAAATGTCAGATTGTTTAATAATATTTGGACTTTTATTGTTATTATTGGTGTAATAATGTAACAAATGTTTTAATAATAATGATCTTAATAAAAATAAACTAAAACTAATCATATATTAATATCCTATTATTAGATCAAAATAATTTAGATTTATTTACACATATTGTAACTTATATAATGTGTTGGGAGGGTTAATAAGAACACAAACACCTTTTAATGTATTCATTTATAATTAATCCAACATCATTTTATTAAATGTAGTAATTATTGTAATACATTTACATACAAAACTATCAAAAATGACTTGTGATCTGTTTTGGGGGTAAAATAAACAACATTAGTATATTAATGATATAATTAATCTAATGTAGGATTAATTATAAATATCAGATTAATTACATAATAATATTTTAACATTACCATCATTATTGTATTAATGTAATAATGTAATTAAAATATACTACTACTAATAATAGCGCATTGTCTTACAGGGTTAATAAAAATACCAAAAGAAACAAAAAACATATTATAATCTAATATTAGATTATTATATTTAAATACATTTATAATCATTTAAATACTAGTAAATAATATAATATAGCTATTCATATCATACTAATAACTATTAAAGTAATATTTGCTTCTAGTGTGAGTAGGCCTATAGGAACACCGCCACGCTGAATATCTAGCGATGCAGAAATGACACACTGTACTTTTATGACTAAAATTTGTTGACATTCTATACAAAATCATTGTTTTCAGTAAACATCCCAATATCTCCTGTCCATATCAATAACAAAATTATGTTTCCCTCTTCGCTATAGAAGCCTGATGTGCTGGAGGAACAGGAGGACAGAGGGGGAACAGCCTGATATGAAGCTACGACACACCGACGGAGCGGAGGAGCAACACCCCGAGATCTCCCTCACAGTGCCGTCACGGGGCGCAGAGTAGACGACAGAAGAGAGACACTCACAAACCCATCGACCTCAACTGATACTGACAAGACTCCTGTAAGAAAAAGACTAACAATAACAAGAGGGGAAACACGTTCAGCACGGCTTGTGTCCTGACAGCCAGATTTCATCCGCAATAATCCCTGCCCAATCCCCAGCAGCCCATAATCAGACACACAAGTGCACTCGTGCTGTTACATATGCACTAGGCCCGCAGACAGACAGACATCCCACTGAGTGTTCAGTTCGCTGGGAGGATTTCATAATGAAAACATTCCTAGGCATTCCTGTATTCATCATCAATGTATGAAAAGAGCATTATGCATCGAGGATACTCCAGTTTCTGTGGTACTGCCCAAAAAAACATGAATGAAGAACTTATCTGTGAAGCACAAAGAGCAATTCAGTGAACTGAAGATCTAGAGAAATTTAAGGGTGGAGAAAGAATTTTCCCCCAAAGGAAATTCTGATTTCTCTCCCCTAAGTCTCAGCACTCCCACTGGTGTGAGATTTCCCAGTTCCCCCTGGACATCACCAGTTTGTTCTTTTCGTACGAAGTCTGCACTGGGCTGTTAAGACTGTGCAGAATTGTTGTGTTCATTTGTGTATGAAGAGGATAGGATTACAATTTGAATGGTTAAATAGGCAGAACGTCTCATCTAAAACTAAAACACACAATCATTCTTTGAGGATACAGGTCTGGTGTTTTTGTGCTTTTACTGCTCAACAACATTGACACTATTATCATTTTGTTAACGTCATTTTGTCATTTTAAACACCATTTACTCTAAAGTTACGTGAACCATCAGAATTAATACATGAACAAATCTGTTATTTATAAATAAAACTTGTACATACTTTTTTGATGTAAACACTAGTTTTCTTGTTTTATTATTCTTCTTATTTAATGACATAAAATAAACCAAATACCTTACTTAGGTATTGCTACGGCAGCCCACTTTGATACATTGGCTATTTTTTACAAACGTACAGTTGATAAACTACAATCCATACCACAGTTTTTTCGCATTATTTAACAGGCTGAGTGTATCTTAATAGGGATTCAAATGGGAAAACTGAGCGTTTTGGCGTTTCATACATCACAGACAAAAAAATGGCAGCTTGATTATGGATTTTTGTTGTTTGTTTATATACTGACATGCACAACAGCAAGTAAAAGATGAATGCTGATACATATCCTGAAGGAACACACAAATCCACCATAGTATGGTCAGAAAAAAAAAAGCTATCAGACAGGTTGAAAGAGTCATTCAGAAGAGGAGTGACTTCTTAGCCGGATTACATGCAAATTCAGTCTTGCTACAGCCGGTTTAAGGTTCTGCGCCTCAAACGGCGATTGCCACGAAGCCCGCGAGGCTCATTTGCTAGCCGAAACGCCACATAAATAGTGCAAATCTCCTTGATTCACATTTATGTTCTGATCAGATGTTGAACTATATTCCGTTGAAGTGACAACTCAAGCAGACAGGCGCAAGTGCAGACCATTGTAAAGGTTACTGAATGGAAAGAGTGCAAAGTTAGTTTATTGTGTCGAGTATAAATCGGAATGAATGATGACTTAGTTATTAACTAAACTCTTGGACTTTAGACTTGCATTCATTAACATTATTCTTTTCTAGACACGGAGGATGGAAGGAATGCACACTGGCGGTTACTGGCACAAGGCCACCCGTTTACTGTATGAACAGATAAAGAGCCGGATCAACATCATGCCGAACACTCCAGATTCCTGATTTAGGAATCGCCGACTGCTATATAGCAGCAACTCATACATATGGAAAGATCCACCTTCAAGAACATTCTAATGTGAGGAGGCGCAAAAGGAATGTTTGATGCAGATATGAAGACTCCTTGATAATTACATTGTTCTGCATCACAAATTCTGGCTGAGAGTGTGCAAGTGGTTAATATGCTAATATAATAAAGCAAAACATGCAAGGACTGCAGCTAAAGTGCATGGCTCATGCATTCTTGTTGCATCCAGCTGTCCCACTGCTGTGCAGGTCAACATTCATATTTACAACGACCGGCTTGTCAACTTGGCATTCGTACAACCAAGATATTGCAGGAAGTGTAAACTCCAACTCGCTAGAGTTAAGTATTACAAGGTTCCCGTATGCAGTCATGAGATGAGCATGCACTCGTGTCAATGTTGCCATTGTGTTTGTGAGCTTTCACGAACACCACTGCCATGGAATATTTACAAACTTTATGAGCTGCACGCTTATTTGCCTGATGGGAAAGACGAGCATTTAAATGCAAATTATTACCATAATAATGGCTGTTAATATGCTGCGGGCAGTGTGTGTGAGAGATTGTATGAATGTGAATGTTAAGGGCAGCAGAGATCGTTCGGCATCAATCCCTCATCATAAATGACAGCAATAAGGACAATCAGTGTCCAAAGCTGTCCGATATGCAGTTTTTTATATTTTTTCTTCTACAAATCACATTTTCAGGGGCAGACACGGAATCGGAGTCTGCCACAGCATCAATTATGAGAACAAACCCTCCTGATCTCCCTTGAGTGTTCAGACCCCCTGCATGAGATCTTTGGAGGGGTCGTGGGTGGTCCGATGGATCAATGTACAAGGAAAGTGGAGGTATGGAGCGCAGGGAGGCGTGGTTTAAGGTTTGGGAGGCGGGGTCAAGCGTGGTCCTCCATGGGGAAAACGAGACGTGTGCCGCGGCTCAAGAGCTCATGTTCACGCGTGTCCAGTTCTCGCTCTAGAGCGTCCTCTGACGTGCTGTCGCTGCGTTTGCCATTCACACCCCAGCTGCTGCCCGATCCTTCGGGGCCGGAGGAGGACGAGGCCCCGTTGGCTGTGATGGCTGTGTCGCCATAGGTCAGCGCCAGGTCTCCTTCGTTCAGGATGAGGTCTGAGTCATTGTCTCGCAGCGGCTCGTGGTTCTGCGGAGCACAGTGACAAGTCGGACATGAAGGGAGGAGGACGGGATGCTTCAACACACACACACACACACACACACACACACACACACTGTTCAAGCTCAGCACAAAGGTTTCATGAGGGACACTGTGGAGTCACAAGAAGACAGGATAAAGAGAGAAATACACTTAAATGTCCTTGTGCAAAGGAAAAAAATCAAGACTTACCTCTGTGTAATGCAGCCTTCAAGTGCCAATGGGAATATTGTAATTACAAGTTATGTGTACATGAATGACCAACAAATTCATATTTAGAAATGGAAACACAATATTCACAATGGTATTTAAATGGTAAAATTGTGATATTAGAAGGGCCGTGTAGATGGTAGCAAATACTTTTGTCAAGTTATGTCTTGAGATTTAGAAATAAAGGGGAAAAAAATGCTTGAATTGTAAAAAATTGCATAACGACCATTAAACTGGATAATTAAATCCCAGGCAACATTTTCCTGGTATCTTTCTTCATACATGCTTTCAACTCAAGTCAATATTTCTTACCTTTTTTGTTTATTTGCCAAGCAGCGGTGTAATAAGAGGAATATTGTAGCGTTATAGCAGTCATTATAGCAAAATTATCTCTTTTACTGTTTTGCAAGAACCCACAGCTAACAGCATACATATTACAGGGTTTTTGCAGGTTTTATGAAGGTAAATTTAAGACCAAGTACAGAGAATTTAAGAAATAAATTGTGACCCTGGACCACAAAATAAAAATAAAAATCGCCTTTAAAGTTGTCCAAATGAAGTTCTTAGCAATGCATATTACTAATCAAAAATTAAGTTTTT